GGTGACATTTAAAAACAATGCTTCCTTTGTTTACATCTCTAATAACTCTCATTTTAGTTTCAAGCTTAAAAAGGCCAAATATTTTTGCATGTTGTTAGCAGAATTTCACAATTAAGTCCGATTTATATTTTTAGGTCCATCTTACTGATATTTTTTTCCTCTGCAGCTCACCTGGAACGATCAGGTAAGAAATGAGGAAGCAGCGAGTTTAAGTGTCGGTCCACAGAGTGCACAATTTCTGCGGCAGCAGATCTGTACTGCGATATTGAAAGCGTGTATTCTTGCTGGTTGATCACACTATTCAGCAGCAAGTGGAAACTTAGAACTTGTCTGAACTTGCCCGTGCAAGCAGTGAGGAGGGCGCAGAAGGAAGCGAGGGGTCTGGGACGGGGATGGTGTGAGGGGATAAGTACCAAAAAAAACTAAACAAAAAAGTGACTGGGTGAAAGGAGAGAAACAAAGCCCAAGCGTGAAAGAGCAGCTGACTGCAACGGCTTCAAAAGTTCTCTGCAAGCATGTGTTCAACGAACAAGATCCACAAAACCGTTTTGTTTTCCAAAAGACAGATTTACAGTTAAGCTCTAAAAATGTTTTACAATTTTACAGTCTCCAAAAACCACAAAGATTAGTTTGATTTGTTATACAAACACACAAAAGTAATTAAAAAGACAAAGAAAAAAAAAAACAAGCATTTGCAAAGATAAATGAACACGTGTTTATAACCGAGGGGGGGGACAGTAGTACTCGATGTTCAACAGCACCCGACAGGAGGTGGATTTCAGGAGCAGGTGGAGGGTGGGTTGGGGTCATCCCATTTTGCGGTGGAAAATATCCTAAATTGAGTCAAACGTGAAGGTGGAATGTATGTGCTTTTGCTTTTAATCATTATCCAAATCATTTTTCTTTGAAGCCCAGCGCAGGGATTGTTAAATAAAAACTGCAGGTTTAGAGAAACAAAAGCAGGTGAGTGTTTGATTACGCGGCAGGTGAGGTGCTTTTGATTTGGGGGTTTTTTCCCCCTCTTTAGACTCGTCAGTGTCACAATACAGCCTTGTAAGGAGGACCCTTCTGTATAAACCTCAGCAGAATGGCACTGCTGCCCGAAACACACACACAACCCACTCCCTCCCCCCAACCCGCCACTCCCGCCCCCCCCAATCCCAGCTCAATATCGATTTTGCCATCAAACAAGGGCTCTTGGTGGCAAGGTGGAGGAAAAACTAAGCAATCACAGTGTTTGTTGAAAATAAATGGACAGTTTAATAACCTTTGTTTGTTTGTTTTTGTTTAAAGTGGAATAAAACCAGCCATTTTTTGCCAGTACACTAAGAAAAGCCAAAACAGAAGGAATGGACAACTATATAAATGCATTAACTCGCTAGAGAGAGGAGTGGGGGTCAGGAGGGAAGGGACTGAGATGTTAGGAAGGAGGAAGTGAGGGGAAGAGTGGAATGAAGAAAGAAAGATACGAGGCGAATGTGGGCTCTAGGAGACGTTAATTTATTTGGTGGTTCTGGATAAAAACCCTCCCCGCGTGCTATAAGACTAGACTGGCCAGTGGTTTTTAGTTGCTGGCCTGCATTGGAGTGCCGTGATCGAGGGAGGGTGACAGGGATGGATTAAATGGTGGGGTGAAAGAGTAGTTTTCTGGGGGGGGGG